TCGTCATTGATAGCGTGCGCAAAGCGCGACGCTCGTGCTCATCGAGCCTAGGATGTACTTCCCCCGTGCCGCGAACGCACTATCCGAAATCACACCGCGTGCGGGAGACGAAGTTGGGCTCTGCCCGTGCTCGCTGTCAGAACCAGCGGGACTTGGTGACTTTCGTGTCGTGGACACAGGGCTCATTGAGCAAGGAAGTCGTTTTTTCAAACAAATTGAGTTGCAGTGTCAAGCAGACACGCGAGCCTCGTTGAGGCAATAACTGTAAATGCTCTCAATCTTAATGGGGGAGGGTGTAACGAAGTTACACGAACCCTGATAACAGGGGTGTGTGTCACACGAGATATGCATGGTGTGACCACACCCAAACTAGAATACGGTACGGGCTAGGTAGCCAGTAGTTATGCATGTATTTAGATTCTACTATATATATTAATGAAAATCTAAACTTCTAGAATCAGGATAAATAAATTAATAAAACTCAGTTTTGGATTTTAAACGGAAGAGCTAATTAGCCTTGGGTAAGGCAATAACTACTCTGGGAGTAAGCGGGTTGCGATCCGCTAACTCGTACTTGTTCTAAGTATAGAACGAAAGGTCGGTGGCCTAAATTACGCTTCCTCAAGCGCTAAGCTACGGCAGCCCCGCTGCTCAACATATTTTTATCACTTCGTTTTTGTCATCGATTTACCCTGCCATTACTTACAGGAACGACAACAGTGCAACGCCATTCGGATGTGGCGGAAGCAAGACTTTACTATGTGGATTGAAACATATGGCGGGCGTGGGCCCAGTAGAGCCGTTGCCTAGGTGGCATACACCAAATATGGCAATCCCAGGCTACCGCCAGTGAAGCCGGTGTGCGCATGGGTCTTGAAGGCATGGGCACAGACTGATGGAGACGTTATCAACGATTTCGTCATTGATGCAGGTTTTGCAGATAACTGCCAATACTGGTTTGTTGCTCGACATGACGTGTACAGTACGCTGCTTCGGGAACGCTACAAGACAGACGATGCCGGCAATATAGATGTTTTCAACCTTGACGTTCTGGATGAGGCTCTCGATGAAATTGGAGTTAGGGTGAATAATAAACGTCAAGCATAAAACGAATTGTCTCACTTCAGCATTCCTCAGAGAATCATAAGCCCAAACACGCGGCAGCGAACCTACGGCAGAGGATACTTCCCTAATAGTGTTAAGCTTTATTTATAAACAATGTGTTTAAAATTGCGATTTTCACATTGTCACAGAGGGGGCTTGATTCTGGATTCTTATTGGGAAAATCCGTGATTATCTAAACCTAATATCTTTCAATGAATTCTACAGATATGACCAGGAAGTTGTCTTTGTTTTACTCCATACTACAGTATCACAATTTTGACAAGCCAGAATATACGAGTTGTGGTCCAGCGACCGCATTACGGCACAAGTGTACTAAATACCAATCCGCAACAATGCTGTCGCGTGTTATACTGTGCGCATTCGACAGCATCGCGCCGGCAATCACCACTCCGGCGCTATTGTCTAAATTCTCTTCTCCTGCTGCTAACCGCCGCGCTCGACGGCTGCGATGTGCTAAGACCAACAGCTACGCAGCTACAGCCGAGCACTCGTATCCGTCCATTCTGGCAAAAATTGACGATTTCTCCCGCAATGGCCTGGCGCAACGCATAGAAATGCCGACGGAGCTGCTTAAACGACTTACGTCCATCGTGCGCAGTCGTACTCATTCTCAGCTTGAGACACTGCGTCAGAAGCATATAGGCGACCGCCGAAATATGCGTCAATTTCCACTCGATATGAGTAAAACGCCAGTTGGATGGACCATGGACCGAAGCGAGCAGATTCCTTCTTTTATCTACGGACCCGCTGAGACGCTTTCTTTTCTATCCTTTGAGATCGAGGCTACTTATGCTTGCACGCACGCTGTCTTTTCAGAGCTGCAAAAGCGACTGCCCCACTTTAAGCCTAAGTCCATGTTGGACTTTGGCGCAGGACCTGGTACTGCCTCCTGGGTAGCCAAGAATTTCTTTGACCATTCACTAAAAAAATTTCGGGTAGTGGAACCCAGTCAGTCTATGGTGGATGCTGCTGAGGTCTTGCTGGAAGACTTTCCAGGCCTAAGCGTTCGGCGTAGTATTGCGGACCTCTCGAGGGATATTGACGCTGGCAATAAGTTTGACCTCATTGTAGTGGGCTACGTGTTTTCCGACATGACAAACGACTATGAGCGTGTTGCGACGACATCGGCGTTGTGGGAGCTTCTGAGTGAGGATGGTTGTCTGGTGCTTGTTGATCGCGGCAGTCCGTGGGGATCACACCATGTGCGATCTGCGCGTCAGTTTGTGCTCGACTCGGTTGCAAGAGATGAAAACGGATGGAAACAGGCCCATGTGGTAGCACCATGCCCACATCAATTTGAGGTAGAGCTAGTTGCGATCAAGTGACTTTTTGCTTGATTTGATATGTTTTCTGCTAATGCGACAGTGTCCTGCTGCTGGAAGCACGTGGTGTCATTTTGTGCAGCGCTCGCCTGTTGTGCATCGCCCTCGTGAGGTCACTACAAAGCGTTGGCACGGTCAGAAGGGCTCAAAGTTTTCATATTTGATCATGCAGAAAAAGCGCAAAAGTAGCGAGGGAAATGCAATCTCACAGACAAGGCACAACTTTGCGCGCATGCTGAGAAGTCCTCTGTTCGCAACTCGCCATGTATATCTTGACCTGTGCACCCCAACTGTAAGAAATTGTGCAGTTGGAATTGATAAAGACGATTTGATGAGCTTTTGTGTCTGTCAAGGGAAACCTTGAGCGTCGCACTGTAACCAAAGGAAAATCTCTTCGTGAAGTGTATCGCGCGTCACGCAAAGCAAAATGGGGAAGCTTATGGCCTGCCGACGAGTCGAGTTATCTAAGAAATAAGTAGAATGGTCCACATGACGTATGAGACGACAGCTTGAGGTAATACTGCTATAGCCAGGCATTTTGTTTGAAAATTCACCTCATGTTCTTGTATTTTCACATGCGAAAGGCTATCGCTCGATTACAACGTGGAAATGCGGGCGGCGAATCTTAACTTCACAGTTGTGTTCAAACTGCAAACATATGTGCCAAAGAGAGCAGCATGAGGACGATACTTGTTACGCGGAGTTTTTCGGCTGTGAATGAAGTGCTGTCACAGGTGGGGTGTAAGATCTGGTTAGATCCACCAACAGCTTATAACGCATTGACTCCTATTGAAGTAGTGCTTATCTTACGAAAGGATCGATGCAAAGTGTTTGTAATGAATTTAATGCGATCTTGGATGCTTTGTCACCTAAGCTCTAAGCTAGTTCGTATACCTCTTGTCATGATTCCTTCTAAGCCAAAGGGGTATGACGCATCATTGTTGCTGCATCCACATGCAACGCTTTTGAGTCATCTGCGCTTAATACTTAAGTCGCTCCAACAACTGCCATCACAATACGGTAGCTGATTTGTTTACTGCAGCTTGTTCGCAATGACATCAACGTGGGGGACCGTGGACAGCTTGCCAATGGAAGCAACCGAAGGCGTAGCCTTCAATGCCATCTGAGCCAATTCCTGCAGCTTAGCAGCCGAGACACCTTCAACAAGCTGTGACGGCGATTTTGACACGAAACCTGTAGTGGCAATCAGGCCCACACGACCAATAGTACCTGCTCGAGTATTGTACATGTCAAGGGCCTCGAGAGCAGCTGTGGCCTTAGCAGCACTCAGCTCTTCCTTTGTAGCTGGAGATAACGCAATCTTCTTGAGCTCAGAAGCAAACAAATCAATAAGATTACCAGCCTCGGCAGGAGTGGCGTAGCCTGACAGACCGATAAGTGCAGCATCGCTGTAACTCGACAAGAAAGCCGTGATATTTTTGCTGGTAATCCTTAAGCACAGGAGAGCGCGAAGTACCTGCGAGGCGCCAAAATCAGGTGAGTCACGGCCCACAGTAGGTAAAGCCAATGCGACGTGCGTTAAATTGCTGGCCTTTTTGATACGAGTCTCACCACCCACGTACTTGGCTGCGGCACTAGAAGCTTCGGCCCCTTTGGCAAACGAGCTGAAGTAAGCATTGGCCAGATCAGTTAAAGTGTTGTGGGATACACCCGCGCCGACAAGGGCAGCGCTAGATGTATTGACATATTTGCTTTGATACATCCAAAGGGTATCGGGGTTAAGCGCACTTATATTGTCAGTAGCGATGAGAGAGCGGCCCAGAGTCATGTCATCATAGAAGGCAGCGGCGTGCAAGCCTTCAATAAGCAAAGTTGACGGGTCTCCAGTGATCTTTTCGAACTCTGCCTGCACCACCTTTTTCTGCTCGTTCACGTCATAAAGCGCAAATTTAGGAGCAAGCGTTGTCTCGGCCAAAATCACAGCAGCTGCTTCCAGATGATGAGGCAGCACACTTATGCTATAACGTACAAAGTCACGACCAGCTTGAGCGTTTATCACGCCGCCAATAGCCTCAATGTCACGATAAAGGCGTAGATCTGAGCGGGTCAAAGTAGCACGAAATGCCATCTTGGCAAATAACTGTGACACTCCTGCATTATCCTCAGTCTCATCACGCGCACCCGTATTAAGATAGACGCCGATGGTAGCCACGGAAGCATCTCGGTCGTCTGAGCCTAAACTTAGGCCAGAAAATGTCGTGGACGTAGTAAGCTTGGCAGCAGTTGCAGCCAGTGGATGTGTCGCTGGAATCGATGGAAATTGCTCGCTCAGGGATACACAGGGCATCATACTGGCCTTCGTAAACAGCGGGCGCGACGCGCGGACCGCGAACTTAATGGACGACGCAGAGAACATTTAGGGAAAAACAGGTCTTTTACGGTGTGAGGCTCAGAGAGACTCGCAAGTATAAACCGGTATCCAACATTTCTTGAATTTCAGATAGATACCGGTAGATACCCTATGTGATTCGTGCTTTGGAAATTAATTATGCCGCTATAACTTCAGCATACTAGAATATTTATAGCTTTTTAGCAAAACGAACAGCAAAGATCGCAAAATTCGAGGATCTTAAACAAAGCGTAAGGACACCGACAACAAGTAGATGAAGTCATACCTAACGAAAACCGCTTACATGATCCAAATATTGGCACCGAATCCGAACATAAAGGACAGAGGAACAAAGAACCCACCAGATAAACGTTGCCGTGCTTTTGCACAGAGGAAGCTTGATTCTAAGAGTCTGCAGTAGAAAAAGTACGGATTATACCATTTTCATCGGGAAGACAACAACACCCCGCTGTTGAGCCCAGGAAAATGTTCAGCACATTACCAACTGGCTGGACCTGATTCAAGAATCCCAGTTTACTTAACTGCAAGCACAAGAATCACGCCGACTCTTACTCAAATCACGTCGTAGTTACGGCTTTTAATTGCCCAAAATTACTTGCTGCACCGACGCGAAGCCCCTTCATGCTACTGCGTGTGGGTGATCCAGTTACACCTAGAGCAAAATACCTCCCCCTGTGAGAGCTTTTCTAACGCACAGACAGGCCCACTGAACTTATTATTAATAAAAAAAAATTATGATATTGGAAGAGCAGATCTCAGTTCTCAGCAACATGAGCGGATATAAATAGTGAAACCTAGTTAATGTATACATACTGGCTGTTCCGGCCACGTACTGACTTGTTGTTTAAGTGTAGCCACACCACTGTGTGTTCACGTCATCTTGTGTAACCCACGCTATTGATCACACCAGCTTGTGTGACCCCGTTACACTTTTTCACATCGAGATTATGTGCATCTACAGCTCACCCCTATTACCAATCACCTCGAGGAGGCACAGAATCAGCAGCTGGATGCTGACCGCACGGCGGCTCTTATGCGCTCGCATCCACGGTCGGTCCTTGACGCACGCGATCATTTTATCCTTGGGCGTCGACGTGGTGGGTACCCGGCCACTGCACAAGTTGAGCTTGACAATCGAAAAGCTCTCCGAGCTCGCTTCTTGGTATCTCACGAAATCCCAATGAATGCGTACCGCACTCGACTTCGTGCTCAAGGAGGAGGCGCTCCGTACCGGCGATTCGGACGATTCCTGTGGTGCTCGCCCGTGGCAAAACCGCAGCAGATGACGGAGAGCTCTTTGAGCGATGGGTGCAGCGGCACCGGAAATTTTCCACGCTGCACAACATACAGTTTAGCCAAAAGGAGGTGGACGCATGTGTAACGAAGTTACACGTGCTTTTGTGAGAAACGACCAAATTGTGCGACCGTGCATAGGTGGGTATTACGCAGTTAGTGTAATAACACAGTGGTGTGGCTACACCGTACCAAGAAGCCACCACATGGCAAAATTGCCAGTTGTAATGCACATTACTATATTGATTAGGGTTAATGGTTTACTTTATTATTCAGGAAAACCTGGGGTTTTAGATATTGGAGACTCTGCCGCAACTAAAGAATTAAAAACAGTTTCAATTTTGAACACAAGTGTCTGTTTGCTTTGGTAAGGCTTATAGCAATTGAAGGTAGCGGATTGCTCTCGTGCTAGTTCTTGGAAAGAACGTAAGGTCGGTGGCCTTAGCTTAGCTTCCTTTAAGCAAAGAGCTACGGCGGCTCCGCTGCATTTGGTAGCACTCGTAGTCAATTTACGCCTAAGTCGTTACGACCGATCTTCTTGGAGGATGGAGAAATACTCCTATTTGCCCCAGGGCATGCAGGACGGGCTTGATAAGCTGATATCCCCGCTGGGCTGAGAAGGCGTGAAGCACCTCGTTGCGCAAGAGCCCGAGGTCATAAGCACGCATAGCGGCGTTTTCACGTTATACAATTGCTCTGTCAGAGCACTTATAGCAGAAGTTGTCAGCGTCGACAGCGTCTATGACGCTACCGTCGACGACAGATGATTCCTTCTGACCCAGGCCGCTCATGGTTAGCGCTAAGACCTTTGAGGGTAAGGATGTAAAGAAACTCCTGCTCTGGATAAGAGAGGCCGAGATGGCTATGGCATCCGCTATGCACCAAACGGCAGCGCATGGCACTAGCTATCTCCAAGTTCGGGGCCGAGCGCGATGGTAAAGCTGCGTTCCCTCCTGGAAGGAGCAGAAGCGTCAGCTTCTGCGAGTGCTCTCACCGCATAATCAGGCATATCGCGTGAAATCGCGTTTTCTTGCTGCCCGACAGGACAAGAAGGAGTTGGTGGACTTCGTCCAAGAGTTAAGAACTTCTATTGCCGGGATGACAACAGATCCCCCCCCGAGGCGGGCGCAGTGACTGTCTTTATGTAGGGTCTCCGCACTGGCGTGGCCGGGATGGAAGTAGACCGTGTGCATCCGTCTTCACTTGAAGAAGCGGTAAACGTGGCACTGAATGCCTATTCAACTTCAAGTCGGCATGTCTTGGTTGGAATAAACACCCTCAGAGCTCGTCGAGCGGGCCTGGCCCATATGAATCTCAGCTACGCTGAGTAGGAGGAGCGAGAGCTCCGAGCTGCTGAGCAACGTATAAACACCCGACGGTGTTTTGTTTAAGAAGACACCCGCCACCTTCAGAATGATTGTCCCTTGCGCAAGGCGCGTAAAGGCTCGACGAACCGACGTCCCGCTTCTAACCAATCTGGTTTAAAGCGGGGAAATAAGACCATCCAGTAGGCGCGGATCGCCCTCTTGGGGGAGAACTGAGTTCTGTTGAGTCTCAAAAAAGGTAGACGGCAGCAGGGCCCAGCCCCGAAGGGCACCCTGCTCTTGAACACGGAACGTGTATGCAAGCCGGACTAGCGGATCGTAAAAGACCGTGAATGGCTTTGAGAAGCCATAAAAATCCTTATGGATTCCGGGGCGTCAGGCAATATGCTCGACGCTCCACATTCGATGGAAGTCAGCTGACTGCTGAGGCGCTAGAAGCGCGGTTGAGTCTCCCCGTAACTGTTCGTTTAGCGACGGGGTCTTGTGTCACTGTGCCGAGGGTCCCTGTGGACCTCGATGTCAAGTTTCTTGACTTTGATAGCGTGGAACGCCGTCCAGCCCTAGACTTGGATGCAACGTATGACCTATCCTTGGTATGGCATGGTTGAAACACCATGAGCCATGTATTGATCGGAGGTCGAAGACCTTGGGCACTACGAAGACGTCTTTTAGTGGGGCTTTGGTGAGTCGTGAACCCACCTCTGCTAGGAAGCAGAAGCGCTACTGGCGCGGGCACTGGACCTGGACGGTCAATGTGCGTGATATCGGAGTATCCGAGTTGTAAACAAAAAAGGTGTTTTGGACAAGAGTCCCGAGCGTGGCTCGCGGGCTGAACCTGGAGTGGCACGTAATTCACTGAACACTGCTCAAGTGTTGGAGCCGTCTCTGCATGCCAAGAGTTGCATGGTCGGCCCAGGGCCGAGGCATCAAGAGCGAGACCCTTGTGATTTACGTGAACCCACTGAGCACTGCTCACGTTATAAAGTAGTTTCTGCGTGCCAAGAATAGCATGGTCGGACGAGCCCGAGGCATCAAGAGCGAAGCACGTGGAATGGCACGAAATCCAATGAGCACTGCTCACGTTTCGAAGCATGCCAAGAGTGGCATGGTCGGACAAGGTCCAAGGCATACTGGGCAAAGCCGTTCTGATGCGCGTGGAGTGGCACGTAATCTACTGAGCACCAATCACGTTTCGAAGCAGTTGCTGCATGCAAAAGTGGCCTGGTCGAACGAGGTCTAAGGCATAGCGTGCAAGGCCCTTCTGAGGCGCGTGGAGTGGCACGTTATCCACTGGACCATGACTGCGGAAATAGCAGCTCATCGTCGGATGTTGTTAATAATATCGAGGCTCTGATGGAGCAGGCAGTGAGGACACTGGATGACGCCGAGTGCAAGCTCCCACTGGTCTTGATGAGACATAAAACCTCTATAGAGGGGAGAAAGCGTTACCGTATGTTATCTGAATGCAGCTGATGACAGGTTTCTTTTTTCACAATTCTAGGGGTGATGTATCATTGCAAAGAAATTAGCGAACAAT